TCAGTAGTTTGTATGGCCCCCACATTCTTGTATGCATGTCTGACAATGTGGGGGCATGCTCCTAATGAGTTGTCTGTCCTGGTGTATTTCCTCCCAGATCTGGACCAGGGCATCACTGAGCTCCTGGACAGTCTGCGGTACAACATGGCGGCATTGGAGGAACATGATATCTCAGAGGTGTTCCATTGGATTTAGGTCAGGAAAGCGTGGGGGCCATTCATTCAATGGTATCAATTCCTTCATCCTCCATGAACTGCCTGCATACTTTCGCCACATGAGGCCAGTCATTGTCATGCACCAGGAGGTACCCAGGACCCAATGCTCCAGTGTAGGGTCTGACAATGGGTCAAAGCATTTCATCCTGATACCTAATGGCAGTCAGGGTGCCATTGTCTAGCCTGAAGAGCATGGGTGTCAAACGGGTGGCCCTCCAGCTGTTGCCAGACAGTCTTGTGAGGCTTTGCAAGATTGACCGTTACAAGCATGACTCACAAAGGCAGATGAATGATGGGACTTGTAGTTTTGCAATAGCTGGAGGGATCGCAGTTTGACACCCCTGTTGTAGTGGTCTGTGCGTCTCTCCATGGGTATGCCACCCCAGATCATCACTGACCCACCACCAAAAAGTCATGCTGAACAATGTTACAGGCAGCATAACGTTCTCCACGGCTTCTCCAGACCCTTTCACGTCTGTCACGTGCTCAGGGTGAACCTTCTCTCATCAGAAAAGCACAGCGCTCCAGTGGCAGACCTACTAATTCTGTTTAATGGCATGCCAATCAAGCTCTATGGTGCCAGGCAGTGAGCACAGGGCCCACTAGAGGACCTCAGGCCACCCTCCATTAAGTTTTACTGATTGGTCAGACACTCACACCAGTGGCCTGCTGGAGATCATTTTGTAGGGTTCTGGCAGTGCTCATCCTGTTCCTCTTTACACATAGGCACAGATACTGGTCCTGCTGATGGGTTAAGGCCCTTCTACGGCCCTGTCCAGCTCTCCTAGAGTAACTGCTTGTCTCCTGGAATCTCCTCCATGCTCTTAAGACTTTGCTGGGAGATGCAGCTAACCTTCTGGTAATGGCACGTATTGATGTGCCATCCTGGAGTAGTTGGACTGCCTGTACAACCTCCTGTAGGGTCGAGGTATCTCCTCATGCTACCAGTAGTGACACTGCCTCTAGCCAAATGCAAAACTAGTGAAAACAGTCAGAAAAGATGAGTAGGAATAAAAATGTCAGAGGCCTCCAACTGTGTAAAACCAGTCTGGGTCTGTAAAGCATGTTGCAACTGCAGGTATTGGTAAAACCACCTCTAATCTAGAGCAAATTTGGAGCAAAGTATTGAAATGTATTTAGCGCACCACCAGAATGGAGCTGCAGTAGGGAGGGACACCTGCCCATTCTTAATGTCAAAAACCTTTCAGGTAGGATGCCTCAGGAAGCTACCCATTTGCCCATAGCGGAGTATATTGGGTGTGACCTTTTTTTTTTACCCAGTACCATCTTAGTTGCCTACCAGATCTTGTTTATCAGGGTGGGTGAGGGGATGACCGAGTGGGCATATGGTAGGATATTGGAGTAAAAAATCTGAAGAGGGTTTCAGCCAGCAGGTAAGTGAGTATAAGATTTGAGGGCCCCAATTTTCCCTTCAAAAGTTGACACGGCCAGCCACTAAGGGGTAGTTGACACGGCCAGCCACTAAGGGGTAGTATACACCATATGCTGCACTGTGGAATCTTGACTGTGAAGGAAGCAGGTTTTCCAGGAATATAATCATGAATCTGAATGGAAATGTTCACCCCGAAATAATTAAAATGGGAATCCACCTGGACTTAACTGCACAGAAAGGAGAGTGTCCAGAGGAAGGAGTATGGATTTGTCACAATTTGAAGACCTGAAAATGTGCTAAAGCTTGTGGTAGCAGACTGGAGCAGAGAATAAGAAACCGTGAGTATCACTCAAATAGGAGTATGTAATTTGTGTAGCGCTATTTTATCCTCTATCCCCTGCAAGGACCATGCACCTCCAGGAGTCTGAAGCAGCAGGGTGGTTAGGGGCTCTGTGACCAGTGCAAATAAAAGGAGTGACAATGGCCAGCCTTGTCTAGTCCCACATGGCAGTAGAAAGGGGGTGCAGAGCTCTCCATTAACCCAAATCTGCCTTTGGAGAGGCATACAGAAGTCTGACTCATTTCCAGAAGATGTCGCTGAAGTGTTTGAACACTTCTCAAAGGTAACACCATTCAGCACTCTCAAAGTCCTTGGTGGCATCCAGAGACAAAAGGGCTCTGTTCTCAGATCAGCAGGGACTTGAATATTCAGTAAAGTGCGTCTAATGTTAACTGCAGTGGAGAGGTTGAGCATAAAGCTCATTTTTAGTCTGGGTAGAGTAATAACTTTATTCAACTTGTTGGCTAATACTTTGGCAAGAACTTTGATGTCTGTCATTAACAATGAAATTGGTGTATAAGACTCTGGATTTAGGGTATCTTTAACCTTTTTAGGGCTAGTGAGTCTTAGAATGACAAACTGCAGCTCAGTACGGTAAAAATTACACCACAGGTTATACAGATTCAGCTCTCTAGAGTCTATCCAGGGGAGTAAAGGTGTCGGATGTGGTTGACAAGGATCCTTTCACAGGCGATGTCAAAGACATAGTTAAGATCGTCTAGCTAGTGCAAAGGTAGTTTATTAGCTAAAAATTTGTTAAGCAGGCAGAGTAACTCTGGCAAGAAAGGAGGCAAAATGCATACATTGGCAATAAAACCACTTATCAAAGCGTTTACAACACAGGAATATCTATCTACCATGCTTTATAATGTCTGGCTGATCCCACCGCATAACAAAATGGAAATGCCTCTTGCCTTATAGGAGTAAGTACAGCGGTATGCCTTATGTAATTGTTCCAGGAATCTGGTAGTTTCGGGGTTGGCATGCCTCTCCTGCAGGCAGATCAGAGCTGGTTTAAAGGCATAACCGTGTCAGATCACCTGGCGTTTCAGAGTATTGTTACTACCCCTCACATTCCAGGATACTAGTTTTGTTATAACTGAAAATGTGAAACTACTCAAATGGATGCATAGCAACCTGAAAGCTTTGAGGTGTACAGAAGACCCAGTTCCGCTGGTTGTAGCTATTTGTCTTCATTGTTTACGTTAATTTTTTTGTGGTTTCTCTGCTGCACCAAACAGAACTGTGACCCTAGTCCAAAAATATACCAGCCAACACATGCTGACCATGACCACAGGGCCAACAGAACAGCAAAAAAAAAGATACAAAAATCCCTGCAGCGGAAACATGGGGCAGATCCATCCTCTGGCAGGCTGAACATGCTTCATTAGCTGTACAGGTGTCAGCCATAGCCATGAGGGAAAACAAGGTGCTATACAGGAGCCTTGAAGAGAGACCGCATCCAGCTCTTGGTGCGCATCAGAGGGTATGAAACCCCAGGTGTCTTGCATATTGTAGTGGTTGTCCAGCCAATCAGAGGCAGCACACAGCGTGTCAAAAAGAGTAGTGTCATTCGCCACAACTCTCAGCTTAGCTGGGTAGAGCAATGGAGTAGGTGAGATGAAGTTGCTGCAGACGTTTCTTGACCTGGAAGTGGGAGTGTTGTTTTTGTACTTCCAGACATGTCAAAGAACAAAACTTTTTGTATCATTGAAAAAGCGATCTCTTTAAGAGCCATAACACTACGGAGGATAATTTTTCTTAAAATTTAAGATGGATCAGGAAAGGATGTGATGGAATGCCAGGAGGCAGAGGTCTGGTAGGAACTCAATAAGCCCTTTCCACTGTGAAGAGAGAAGAGATGTTCCTTCCCAATGCGGTATCTGAGGCTGCACCACTATCTTGAGTCCCCTGCTCAGCCACTCCAACTCCCTCCTTTCGTCTTGTCATAACACTGGGCTGCCAGAAGATACAGGGGAGAGTGTCAAGGAGGGTCCGCGGGAGGAAAGCGGGGTACAGCAGCTGTAGGAAGGATACTGGCAGGATTATGAGCTGGAGCTGCAAGGCACACGTCTGCTTACATGAGCCACCAGCCATGCCCCCTTGTATTTTATTATGGAGTTTGCTAAGAGAAATATTTTAGCACAAGTAGATTTTAAAGCTTCTGTAGGACATGCAAGTGTGTAAGTATTGATATATAAAGGGGAAGTAATAGCAGTGGGGCAGTCTTGGACAATATCCCCAGGTTATGACCTGAAGCACCAATAACTCATAGGATATTTAGGCCTGGTTCACACCTATGCGTTTTTCAGTACTTTTGGCGTTTTGTGGAAACTCACTACAGTCCATTTACTATGGTTTCCTATGGGACACAATCACATCTATGCATTTTCAGCCACATTGTTTTTTTGCATAGGCTCAGGGACTTTTTCTCGCAGCAGGTGTGAACCAGGCCTTAGTCTCACCATCCCCTGTTGCAAGTTTTTGACAGCTTTCTGTAGCATCACATTCAGGGCTAATTCACATAAGCATTGTAAAATATCTCACCGAAAGGACACACGGGGAAACTACTTGTTTCCAATTGTCACATTCACACTGCAGTGCAGCATATGATTGCAATAAAATGCAGACATGCTGCATTTTATCGCACTACATCACACTGCTTTACAATGCAGTTGAGTAGGTTTCTTAAACTACAAAGTTTGTACAAAACAAAAAAGGAGTCGTGTGATGCGCTGCCTACCGCAGCCAGCAAGAGATCTGTCACAGCAGTAAATCACTGTGGCTGCTCTGCTTAGGGTATCAGTGAACATTATGTACTGATGACCTTTGTCATGGGCCACACTTGTCAAGTAAGTTGTTCACCACTACTATACTATATAGATGAATGTGATAGGTACCCCATCAGCCACTGAGTTACACTGAACATTCTTTTAATTTCTTACTAAATACCTTTGTTTCCTCAGGTGAAGGTGATGAGAATTCACATAATCATTTTTTAATTTTTTTTTTTTTTTTTCCCCGCTCTCTCTCCCTCTTGCCTCCACCATAGAGTAATGCCAGCAACATGTCAAATGCTCCTATTTTCTGCTACATTTGAAGACACAGTGTGGCAGTTTGCTGACAGGATTGTGCCTAACTCAAACATTATAAAGCTTAAGAAAGAAGAGATGACCCTTGAGAATATCCTGCAGTTCTATGATTCCTGTGAGGGCATAGAGCAGAAGTACAGTGCACTGGGCAACATTTATGGCACAGTCACCATTGCTCAAGCTATAATATTTTGTAGGGTAAGGCCTTTTTTTTTTTTTTTTTTTTTTTTATTGCATTTTGTTAATGTACCCTAATTGTGTTCACATTCAAAATGGTGCTTGTCTTTTAAATTGAGCTGAATCCTAAAGCTTCCTTTAGCTTTGGATAGAGTGGGGAATGGTTGGAACCACTGAAAGATGGAGAGGTTCTTGGAGCACGAAGAGTGTTCACTATCAATTTTGGTTATTGCACCCAGTTGAGAACAGTGTGCTTATGTGGGGGGATTCAAAGGGGTGTGTGTGTGTGGTGGTTTTTTTGTTTTGTTTTTGTCTTTGTTTTTTACCAGAAAATGCAGTGTAAAGCTGTGATGAAGGGAATATTTTTTGGATGTTTTTTTTTTTTTTTTTTTGTCTTTAAAGCAAAACTAGACCCTCCTATCCTTTTTTTTTTTTACGGCTTAGGATGATGCCATCTTAGCCACTGATCTGCAGTTGCCATGGTGCTGGCTGCACATATGATCAGGAATGAAACTGTTTGGCTTGACAGTTTTTAGTTGACAGGACAAGTAGCTGTGATTGTTGTAGTCATGGCATGCCTTAAATTTAATGGTTTTGGCAAACTGGTAAAGTGATGGGTTTAGTTTCTTTCTAACCGGATAGAGCAACATAAAGATGATCTGGTATATTATCTACACAGTGGGCATTTTTTTCTTACCATTCCAAACTGTTAAACCTGACAAGGATTCTAATATACCCACACTGTCCAAAAAGTTTTAGGTTTTAAAGCAGCTTTTCACCTTCCTGGCATTTTATAAATACAGTAGAGGTGAAAGGATTTTACCTTTTGTTAAATTATATCTCCGGGCTGCTTCTTGTTTGTTGATGAGGATGATCACAAGATGAGATGTGCTGTAACTAAATGCTATTACCCGCATTGGCAGATGTGCTCTGTCAGATCTCTGGAAACATATTTCCGAGAAAATGTCACAAGAGTATTTGATTTTCAAACAGGAAAGTCCCCCTTTACAAACCTAACTTTTCAGGTCTATGGATTTAAAGAAATAATGACTGTTATAGAAATGCTGGGTCTTCTAACACTGCATTCTGTACACTGCTCAGTGCAGCAGAGTTTTAAAGCTGGTGTCCTATTATTCTTGCTCTGTTCAGCTACACTGCTGAATTGGCCATGTTGGAGACACAGGTGAAACTCAAAAAATTAGAATATCGTGCAAATGTTCATTTATTTCAGTAATGCAACTTAAAAGGTTAAACTAATATATGAGAGACTCATTACATGCAAAGCAAGATGGTTCAAGCCGTGATTTGTCATAATTGTGGTGATTATGGCTTACAGCTCATGAAAACCCCAAATCCACAATCTCAGAAAATTAGAATATTACATGCAATCAATAAAACAAAGATTGTACATAGAACAATATCGGACCTCTGAAAAGTATAAGCATGCATATGTACTTGGTTTGGGCCCCTTTTGCAGCAATTACTGCCTCAGTGCGGCGTGGCATGGAAGCTATCAGCCTGTGGTACTGCTGAGATGTTATGGAAGACCAGATGCTTCAATAGTGGCCTTCAGCTGTTCTGCATTGTTCGGTCTCCTGTCTCTCATTTTTCTCTTGGCAATGCCCCATAGATTCTCTATGGGATTCAGGTCAGGCGAGTTTGCTGGCCAATCAAGCACAGTAATCCCACGGTCATTGAACCAGGTTTTGGTGCTTTTGGCAGTGTGGGCAGGTGCCAAGTCTTGCTGGAAAATGAAGTCCGCATCCCCATAAAGCTTGTCTGCGGAAGGAAGCATGAAGTGCTCCAAAATCTCCTGGTAGACGGCTGCTTTGACCCTGAACTTAATGAAGCACAGTGGACCAACACCAGCAGATGACATGGCTCCCCAAATCAACACAGACTGTGGAAACTTCACACTGGACTTCAAGCATCTTGCAGTGTGTGCCTCTCCATTCTTCCTCCATACTCTGGGTCCTTGGTTTCCAAATGAGATGCGAAAGTTGCTCTCATCAGAAAAGAGGACTTTGGACCACTGAGCAACAGACCAGGTCTGTTTTTCTTTAGCCCAGGTGAGACGCTTCTGACGTTGTTTGTTGTTCAGAAGCGGCTTGACAAGAGGAATACGACATTTGAAGCCCATGTCCAGGATCCGTCTGTGTGTGGTGGCTCTTTATGCACGGACTCCAGCCTCAGTCCACTCCTTGTGAAAGTCCCCAACACTTTTTTGAATGGCCTTTTCCTGACAATCCTCTCCAGGCTGCGGTCATCCTTACTGCTTGTGTACCTTTTTTTTTTTTTTTTTTTTTTTTTTTTTTTTTTTTTTTTCTTCCACACTTTTCCCTTCCACATAACTTTCTATTAATGTGCTTTGATACAGCACTTTGAGAACATCCAACTTCTTTTGCAGTTACCTTTTGAGGCTTTCCCTCCTTATGGAGGGTGTCAATGATGGGTTCTGCACAACTGTCAGGTCAGCAGTCTTTCCCATGATTGTGATTCCTACTGAACTAGACTGAGAGACCATTTAAAGGCTTAGGAACCCTTTGCAGGTGTTATGGCTTAATTAGCTGATTAGAGTGGGACACTTTGAGCCTAGAATATTGCACCTTTTCACAATATTCAAATTTTCTGAGATTGTGGATTTGGGGTTTTCGTGAGCTGTAAGCCATAATCATCACAATTATGACAAATCACGATTTGAACTATCTTGCTTTGCATGTAATGAGTCTATCTCATATATTTCACCTTTTAAGTTGCATTACTGAAATAAATGAACTTTTGCACGCTATTCTAATTTTTTGCGTTTCACCTATATACAGTGGGGCAAAAAAGTATTTAGTCAGCCACCAATTGTGCAAGTTCTCCCACTTAAAAAGATGAGAGAGGCCTGTAATTGGCATCATAGGTAGACCTCAACTATGAGAGACAAAATGAGAAAAAAAAATCCAGACAATCACATTGGCTGATTTGGAAAGAATTTATTTGCAAATTATGGTGGAAAATAAGTATTTGGTCAATATCAAAAGTTCATCTCAGTACTTTTTATATATCCTTTTGTTGGCAATGACAGAGGTCAAACGTTTCCTGTAAGTCTTCACAAGGTTGGCACACACTGTTGCTGGTATGTTGGCCCATCCTCCATGCAGATCTCCTCTAGAGCAGTGATGTTTTGGGGCTGTCGCTGGGCAACACGGACTTTCAATTCCCTCCAAAGGTTTTCTATGAGATTGAGATCTGGAGACTGGCTAGGCCACTCCAGGACCTTGAAATGCTTCTTACGAAGCCACTCCTTTGTTGCCTGGGCGGTATGTTTGGTATCATTGTCATGTTGGAAGACCCAGCCACGTTTCATTTTCAATGCCCTTGCTGATGGAAGGAGGTTTGCACTCAAAATCTCACGATACATGGCCCCATTCATTCTGTCCTGTACATGGATCAGTCGTCCTGGTCCCTTTGTGGAGAAACAGCCCCAAAGCATGATGTTGCCACCCCCATGCTTCACAGTAGGTATGGTGTGCTTGGATGCAACTCAGCATTCTCTCTCCTCCAAACACAAAACGAGTTGTGTTTCTACCAAACAGTTCTATTTTGGTTTCATCTGACCATATGACATTCTCCCAATCCTCTTCTGGATCATCCAAATGCTCTCTAGCAAACTTCAGACGGGCCCGGACATGTACTGGCTTAAGCAGGGGGACATGTCTGGCACTGCAGGATCTGAGTCTCTGGCGGCATAGTGTGTTACTGATGGTAGCCTTTGTTACGTTGCAGGTCATTCACTAGGACCCCCCGTAAGATCCTGGGATTTGTGCTCACCATTCTTGTGATCATTTTGACCCCACGGGGTGAGATCTTGCGTGGAGCTCCAGATCGAGGGAGATTATCAGTGGTCTTATATGTCTTCCATTTTCTAATTATTGCTCCCACAGTTGATTTGTTCACACCAAGCTGCTTGCCTATTGCAGATTCAGGCTTCTCAGCCTGGTGCAGGTCTACAGTTTTGTTTCTGGTGTCCTTCGACAGCTCTTTGGTCTTCATCATAGTGGAGTTTGGAGTGTGACTGAGGTTGTGGACAGGTGTCTTTTATACTGATAACAAGTTCAAACAGGTGCCATTGATACAGGTAATGAGTGCAGGACAGAGGAGCCTCTTAAAGAAGAAGGTACAGGTCTGTGAGAGCCAGAAATCTTGCTTGTTTGTAGGTGACCAAATACTTATTTTTCACCATAATTTGCAAATAAATTCTTTCCAAATCTGCCAATGTGATTGTCTGGATTTTTTTTTCTCATTTTGTCTTTCATAGTTGAGGTCTACCTATGATGCCAATTACAGGCCTCTCTCATCTTTTTAAGTGGGAGAACTTGCACAATTGGTGGCTGACTAAATACTTTTTTGCCCCACTGTATGTATAGAATTCTTGAACTCTGGACCTTATTTAAAAGAAAATAAATTCTGAACCGTATTAATTTAGAAGAAAGTCAATTGGCTAGGTGTCAGTATTGCCTATGGTCTTTCTTCAGCTGATCCTTTCTCCATTACTAACTTGGTCCGAACTATGTGCATGCATTTTGGAGATCATCTTGGTAAGGGGCAGGGCTTTGGTTTAGCATGTTAGGGCTGCCCCTGGTGACTGTTGGGGAAATACAGGGGTTAGACAAAAATTGGAAACACTACATGATTTACAGGTGTGAAAGTGACATGTTTTGTGTTGAAAGCGAAAGTGATGTTTGCTTCTGGTGACACACCTAGATAACAGGTGAAGACTGAGATTGAGCTTTGCAGTCACTTTTTGTAGCAGTCTTCTTATTCCGGGCCACATTCTTGCACAATGTCCTTTTTTTGTCTTTTGGTCAGTTGACCACGCTTATGCTTTTTAGACTGTTTTCTTTGACACGTTTCAAAATCTTTTTGATACTGTACCATGTGACACAGCAAATTGGCAGCTTCAGTCAGAGGCACCAGCTAAGCAGGCACCAACAATTTTGCCCTCGTAAGCTCTGACACGACTCCGTATAACTAGC